GTGGCTCAGTCCATTCAACATCTGATTCTTGGTTTTGGCTCGGGTCATGATCTCTCACAGTTGGCAAGATGCAGCCCTGTGTCAGGCTCTGAAGGGAGCCTGCTTGGGATTCTCTCTCCCTCTCTCTCTGCCCCTCCCCCACTTGCATACTGGGACTTTCTCCCTCCCTCTCAAAATAAATGAATAAACTTTTAAATAAATCAAATGTCTTAAAACATGAAAGTGAGAGCATGAGACTAAAATAAAATGCAGGAGAGAATGGAATCAGGAGAAAATAGTGTTCAGGTCACTTTTGTTCTAGGCATTTCTGGTCTGAAAGAGGTGGCTGAGGCACTGTGCTTTTGAAGTCTTTCCAGAACTACGGGACAAAAGTCAGAGTTCAGAGCACACTGAAGGTGAGTGCCCTAGTAAACAATCTCCTACTTTGGATGAGGATCTCAAAGGGCTACGTCCTAGAAATAAAAGTGCTCTAACAGTAAATCAGCCTTCCCACAAACTGCCACCAGCTTTGAAATATGTGTTGGGTCCAAAACACAAAGCTTTGATATTGGATTAAAGTTATCCTAGATTTCTAGCAGTCTCAGAAGCACGGCAGGGGCCATTGGAAATCCTCTCTGGAGGAGGATAATATCATCCTGAATTTTTGATTATTTTTATAACTAATTTTTGAAATGTATTATTCAACACAATCAAATATAACTAGATACCTTAGGGGTCAAGATAACATAAACAAGAAGCAATGGAAAAAACTGACATCAGACACAGCCTTCGAAGGCTTTAACTATTATCAAATACAAATAGTAAAACAAGTACCTTTACTAGGTCAAGGGAACAGAAATACCATGTTTAAAAATTTCAGCAGAAAACTGGAAGCTATAAAAAGTGACATAACATAAAGCAACCACAAGGGATTTGAAAAGCAAAACAACTATAAACCATATTTAAGCACATAACAAACTATGTTACAAAACATACTCATAAAACAATAGGATAATACTCTGAAAATTACACTTGCATGCATATAAAAATATAAACACGAATACTGATTTGACCAAATCTTGAAATATTAACCACATTTAGAAATAGAAGGATGATAGAGGAGGGAATGGAGCTGTAAAACTAAATCACATCCAGCATTTTTTTTAAGCTAAAGAGATACATAATCTGAAATAAGCTTTTAAAAGTTCACCTGGATAATTTCATCATCCACTTTTTTTTTTTTTTTACCATGGATGTTATTGTTTTTGTTTTGTTTTGTTTTTTAGGTTTTATTTATTTATTTTAAATATAATTTATAGTCAAGTTAGCTAACATGCAGTGTATACAGTGCGCTCTTGGCTTCAGGAGTAGATTCCCATGATTCATTGCTTCCATATAACACCCCGTGCTCCTCCAAACAAGAGCCCTCCTCCATGCCCATCACCCACTTTCCCCTCTCCTCCATCCCCCCTGCCAACCCTCAGTTTGTTCTCTGTATTTAAGAGTCTGTTATGGTTTGCCTCCCTCCCTCTCTATTTGTAACTATTTTTCCCCTTTCCTTCCCCCATGGTCTTCTGTAAGTGTCTCAGGATCCACGTATGAGTAAAAACATATGGTATCTGTCCTTCTCTGACTGACTTATCTCACTCAGCATAATACCTTCCAGTTCCATCCACACTGCTGCAAATGGCAGGATTTCATTCTTTCTCATTGCCAAGTAGTGTTCCATTGTATAGATAAACCACATCTTCTTTCCCATTCATCATTTGATGGACCTTTTGGGCTCTTTCCATAATTTGGCTATTGTTGAAAGCATGGCTATAAACATTAGGGTGTCTGTACCCCTGTGAATAAGCACTTCTGTGTCCCTTGGATAAATTCCTAGTAGTGCTATTGCTGGGTGTAGGGTAATTCTATTTTTAGTTTTTTGAGGAACTTCCACACTGTTTTCCAGACCGTTTGCCTCCTTAACCATCAATGGCACTGATGGGGACAGAAAACTTCTGAGGGTTACCATCTGTTAAAGTATAATCAGGGGGCACCTGGGTGGCTCAGTCAGTTGAGCATCCGACTTTGGCTCAGGTCATGATCTCACAGTCCATGGGTTCAAGCCCTGTGTTGGGCTCTGTGCTGACAGCTCAGAGCCTGGAGCCTGCTTTGGACTCTGTGTCTCCCTCTCTCTGCCCCTCCCCCACTTGCATTCTGTGTCTCTCTCAAAAATAAATAAACATTCAAAGAAAAAGGTATAATCAGATCTAGTATCCACCAGCATTGTCACTTTTTGTTGTTGTTGTTAGATTTCTGGAAGGCCAGATAGTGAACTCAACATGAGGCCTCTCATCTTCTCGAGTGGCCCTCCCCTGAGGTCATCTTAGCCGGCATCCTTTACCCAGGCCATAGGAGGCACCCACCTGAATGGGACTGGGTCCCTGAGGCCTCTGCTTGAGAGCATGGGCCATCTGGGAGGGTAGGGAGAGATGGGCAGGTCTGAACTGCTGTCCAGGCTTTACAGCTGTCCACAGGCTGCCCAGCAGTGTGGGGTTGTCATTCTGTGTCTTCAAGGATGTCTCCGCAGTAATGAAGTCAGGCCACATTTGCTTCCAGGTTATTTTTACTGGACCCTTTATAGCTGATTGGCTTTCCAAGTTTCCTCTCTGTTTTGAGCCTTTCTCCCATTCTGTGCCCGTTCCTGGGATGTGTCCCTTTCCTCCAGATCAGCAGAGGATTGCCCAGCATCATAAATGTCTTGTCCCACCAGCAGGCTCAACATGGATATCAGTGTCCCCTACCAGGTGCTGGGGCGGACTGGAAAATCTTGGATTTCATTGCTGCCGTGAATGTGGCCCGATTAGGGCCTTCGAAGGAAGGTGCATAGGATGCAAAGCTCATTTCCAACTCTCTAAGAATTTGCTGTGCCTCCTCTATAGATTCCAAGGGTCCCCCTTGCACATGGGGGTCCTTCTCATTGGGTCAAGCCTCCCTACAGGATGGAATAACCTGTAAGGGAGTGGGTTCACTGCTCCCAAGCGTTCATGCAGGTGCTGCCAGAGGTCAGAGTGTATGGTGAAGTTCACTGTCTCTGCCTCTGCTCTTGTTTTCTTTGTATAGGTATACAGTGTTTTGTTCACTTCAAGGTAAGTCCCCACAGCATCTTCCTCTTTGCTCTCTTCCCTTTTTCCGGGATTCTACCTCTTAGCACCCCAACTGGGCCTCATCACAGGTGCTTGGACCTTAATCCCTGGCAGCTCCTGCCCTCTCAACTCTGCAGAACCTGTGCTAAGTCCTCCAATTCATCGCCCCGCTGTCCCACCTCATCTGTAGGCTTGTAGTAGTGCATCCTTACACGTTCATCCATAACCTCAGCTCTTCTTCCAACTGTATAACTTGAGCTGACATCCAGGCCACCCCTCCCCACACAGAGGTCACTGACCAACTGGGGATTGTCCCTGTGGATGCCTCATTCCCAAGACCCATTTCTCTGGTCACCTGCCTGGCTCAACAATGGCTGGTTTGCAAGCTCCTGGGGGGCTTCCTGGATGTAATCTGAAGCCAACCCCCATACTCAGAGGGCATGGAAAGACTACAGAAGGAAGCAGGCCACTCCAGGTTGGCAGGTAGCAGGTTGAATAAGCAAAGGAAAGTACATGCAAGGCTTGTCTGGAGTGACAGCAAGGCAAGTACATCTCTGACCTGCACACCACGTCTTAGATTTCCAGAGTGGTCTCAACTGGGTTCAGTCACGTGTACCATGTGGTAAGAAGGTCTCAGCATCACCATGTTTCTGACCAAAGAGCTAGCCTACTAGCTATGGGCCATCAGCATGAGAAAAGATAGACCTCACTGTGATTTTCCTCAACAGACTGTTCAATCGCCCGTTTTATGGCTATTTGGTTAGCATTATTGTGCTGATTCTCCTGCACCCGATTCTGTTAGTCCTCAAGGTCATAGCCTGCTAGCTTTTCCGGATGCTGTCATAGAGTTTGATCCACCTATAAATCATTCATTGCTGAGTGCTGTGGACCCCATTGTTCAACTACTTGAGCCTGGACAGTCTAACCCCTTGGAAATTCTGGTAAGTCCACTATTGACGTGGATGTGACTCTTCTCAGTTAATGCAGGGCACCAAGCCTCCATTTATATGTCCCACTCAGAAAGATACCATTTCTTGGGGCACCCAGGTGGCTCAGTTCATTGAGCATCCAAGGTGGCTCAGTTGGTTGAGCACCCAACTCTTGATTTAGGCTCAGGTCATGACCTCAGAGTTGTGGGATCAAGCCCCATGTTGGGCTCTGTGCTGACATGGAGCCTGCTTGAGATTCTCTCTCTCTCTCTCTCTCTCTCTCCCTCTCTCTCTCTCCCTCTCTCTCTCTCTCCCTCTCTCTCTCTCCCTCTCTTTCGTTCTCTCTCTCTATCCCTCTATCCCCCTCATAAATACTCTCTCTCCAAAATAAAATATTTTTAAATTAAAATTTAAAAATTAAAAAAAAAAAAGAGGGGCACCTGGGTGGCTCAGTCAGTTAAGCATCCAACTTCGGCTCAGGTTATGATCTCACAGTTCATGGGTTTGAGCCCCGCATCGGGCTCTGTGCTGACAGCTAGCTCAGAGCCTGGAGCCTGCTTCAGATTCTGTGACTCTCTCTCTCTGACCCTCCCCTGCTCATGCTGTCTCTCTCTCTCTCAGAAATAAATAAAACATTAAAAAAGAAAGAAAGATACCGTTTCCATTATGGCCTTTTCCTCTTAATAGACATATTACTACTTATTGACAGTGCATCTGGTTACCCAAGAGTTCTGAGGGAGGCATATCATGAGACTTCAATTTTCTCCATGCCAGCTAGCTAACACAACATCCCTTCTGCAGGCCATGGAAACAGGAGTAATCTTGACTTTCAGGTTTTCTTATTTAAGTAATACATGTTGTAGTTTGCCTGAGCTCCCATAGTCATTCCTCTGATGGACTTGAGTAAAGTAAACTGGAAAGGATTCATTGTTGTTGTTGTTGTTGTGTAAAGTAAGCTCTAGGCCCAACATGGGGCTTGAACCCATGATCCTGAGATCAGGAGTCACATGCTCTACAGACTGAGCCAGCCAGGTACCCCATGATTCACCTTTTTTTTTATGCCATTAAGAACATTCATGATTCATGGAAAGAAGTCAAAATATCAACATTCACAAGAGCTTGGAAGAAGTTGATTCTGACCCTCAGGAATGACTCTGAGGGATTCACGACTTCAGTGGAGGGCGTGACTGCGGACGTGGTGGAAATAGCAAGAGAACTAGAGTCGAAAGTGGAGCCTCAGAGGAGCCCCTTTGCACTGCTGGTGGGAATGCAAACGGGTGCAGCCGCTCTGGAAAACCTCCACTCCTGAGGTTCCTCAAAACAAATTTAAAAAGTAGAACTACCCTGTCACCCAGCAATTGCACTATTAGGTATCTACCCAAAGAACACAGGAGTGCTGATTCGAAGGGGCACGTGCACCCCAATGTTTATAGCAGCCCTATCGACAATAGCTGAAGTATGGAAAAAGCCCAAATGTCCCTCAACTCATGAGTGGATACAGAAGATGTGGTATATGTGTACAATGGAATATTACACGACAATCAAAAAGAACAAAATCTTGCCATTTGCAACAGCGTGGATGGAACTAGATGGTATTATGCTAAGTGAAATTAGTCAGTCAGAGAAAGACAAATATCATATGACTTCACCCATATGTGAAATTTAAGATACAAAACAGATAAAAGCAAAAATAATATAAAAATAGGGAAAGGGGCAAAACATAAAAGACTTAAATATGGAGCACAAACAGAGGGTTGCTGGAGGGGTTGTGGGGGGGGATGGGCTACATGGGTGAGGGGCGTTAAGGAATCTACTCCTGAAATCATTGTTGCACTATACGCTAACTAATTTGGATGTAAATTTAAAAACTAAATTAAATTTTAAAAAGATAAAAAACAAATGAATATAAGAGAAGGGAAGCAAAAATAATATAAAAACAGGGGGTGGGGGGACATAAAAGACTCTTACATGCAGAGAACACAGTGAGGAGTGCCGGAGGAGTTTTGTGGGGAGATGGGCTAAATGGGTGAGGGGCGTTAAGGAGGAAACTTGTTGGTGGGGGGTGTGGGGTCTCAGTCAGTTAAGCATTCAACTTCAGCTCAGGTGATGATCTTGCAGTTGGTGAGTTCAAGCCCCATGTCAGATTATGTGCTGACAGCTTGGAGCCTGGAGCCCGCTATGGATTCTGTGTCTCCCTCTTTCTCTCTGTCCCTCCCCCACTCACATCTGCCTCTCTCTCTTTCAAGAATAAGTAAACATTAAAAAAATTTTTTTAAATAAAAAAAGGAGGGCACTTGATGGGATGAGCATTTGGTGTTACATGCAGGGGATGAATCACTGGATTCTACTCCTGAAATCATTGTTGCACTATATGCTAACGTGGATATAAATTCAAAAAAGAAGAAAGAAAGAAATGTAGGTTGAAGATGGGACTGACTTGCTGGTAACACTTAAATAGATGAGGAGTTGCTCCTGATGGATGAGCAAAGAAAGCGGTTTTGTGAGATGGAAACTACTGGTAAAGATGCTGTGAAGACCGTTGAAATGCCAGCAACGGATTTAGAATATGACATAAGCTTAGTTGATAAAGCAGGGACAGGGTTTGAGAAGATTGACTCCAATTTAGAAAGAAGTTCAGAATTGTGGGTGAGGGGGCGCCTGGGTGGCTCAGTCGGCTAAGCATCCGACTTTGGCTCAGGTCCTGATCTCACAGTTTCTAGGTTCAAGCCCCGTGTCGGGCTCCGTGCTGACAGCTCAGAGCCTGGAGCTGCTTCAGATTCTGTGTCTCCCTCTCTCTCTGTGCCCTTCTCCTGCTCGTACTCTCCTCTCTGTCTCTCTCTCAAAAATAAATAAAATTATTTTAGGGGCGCCTGGGTGGCTCAGTTGGTTAAGTGTCTGACTTCGGCTCAGGTCATGATCTCGTGGTTCGTGGGTTCAAGCCCCCCTTCAGCCCCATGTCAGGCTCTGTGCTGACAGCTCGGAGCCTGGAGCTGCTTCAGATTCTGTGTCTCCCTCTCTCTCTGCTCCTCCCCCAATCATGCTCTGTCTCTCTCTGTCTCTCAAAAATAAACATTAAAAAATTGCTTTAAAGGTATTTTTAAAATAAATAAATAAATAAAATTATTTCTAAAAATAGTAATAATAAAATGAATAAAAGGCAGCCTAAATGCTGTGCTCTCACAGGGCAAGCTGCATTCTTTACTGTATTTGCAAGCCATAGAAACATAGGAGAACAGATTGAGTTGATAAGAACAGCTGAGGAAATAAATCAAGATAACATTTGTGTACATAAAGATAACAGGCTTCCACCTAATGTAAATAGACTGGTGCAATCACTGTGGACCAGGCAGCCCTAAATCTACAAGGTGCTATTGTCCATTTAGAACCCCACCTTGCAAAACAGATTATAAAAATACAAGCGCAGTAGAAACCCCAGAAACTACTTACAGTGGCAGAGAAAGAGAAACAACCAATCTTTTAAAGTAAATAGACCTAAAGGGAAAAAAACACCTATCAACCCAGAAACCCATTCACTGTAAATACGAACCCTTTTATAAAACCAAACCCCATTAACAGAGAGGTCACCAACGGCTGGAGGAGAGCAAACCCCAGGGGACCTCCATAGGGACTCAGCACTTTCTGTTTCTGGCTAAAGCTGGAAACATTGGTCCATATGTTACACGAACCGTATGAATAGAAAACCCTTTTGTAAAGAAAAATACTACCTATGCCACCATGCTGTTAGATACAGGGTCCAAGTAACAATGATACAAGATATCCTTCCGATTTAGAACATTTTACCAATAAAAATGAAATCCCTAAAGTATTGAGAGCAAAATTAACTGCAGGGACGGAAAGGCTTGATTCCTTTTTTTAAAATGTTTTATTTATTTCTGAGAGAGAGACAGAACATGAGCAGGGGAGGGTCAGAGAGAGAGGGAGACATAGAAGCTGAAGCAGGCTCCAGGCTCTAAGCTGTCAGCACAGAGCCTGGCTCGAGGCTCGAACCCACGGACTGTGAGATCGGATGCTTAACTGACTGAGCCACCCAGACGCCCGAAAGACTTGATTCCTAACAACTGCTGACAAACCCAACATTAAGGCCTACTGCCTCAGAGGTCCCAATTTAGCAAACATTCTTGGAAAGCATGTAATAGGACATGTTTAAATTAAGGAAAAAATTATTGTGCCTACAATTTCACCAGAGAATAACCCAGCTGGCCTGTGAAAAACCCAGAAGGGTCCCATAGGTTTACAGTAGATTATATGATTTTAAACAAATGCCCTCCCCAAATTGGAGGGGTAGCCCCAATCCAGGTGCTGTCATAACCAAGATCACCATTGGATCTGGAACTTTCTACATGGTGGTATTATAGGAAGAGATAGGATGAAATAGGGAAAAGATAGGCCTGAGGTCCCTGGGTGGGGAAAAACAAATTTTGGAACAATGCTGGGAGCATCTGACCACAGTAAACCTCTCAGGCTTAAGGATCCTCTTCAGAATGTAACAGAGCCCACCTACTCCCCCTCAGTTTTCCCTCAGGAATTTGACAAAAGACCTAAATACAGGCCTCAGGCCACCCCTCATACAATGGAATTGAGCCAATCAGGAATGGACCACCCAGCACGTCAAGCTACTGGGCCAATAAGGGTGGGACCTGAGAAGGAAGGGGGAGGGGGGGTAACCAAACCCTTGTAAAACAAGACTCTTACCTACTGTCATGGGTGTGCAAGAGAGCTTTCCTACTTCCTTACTCTCTAATCTTACACCCTAAAAATCTTTTGCCTGCTGCTCCTGTTGTGTCCACCTCTTCATTCCTCTAAGCCCGGAGACAGCAAATCTGGAGTGTTGTGGCAAAAAACAATCCCGCAACAGAGGAGACTTCTCTGACATGCTGTTGGCGGTTGCAGTTGATGAGAAGAGCCCACCATGACTGCATTCACATCAGACGGCGGACGACCTCGCTTTACCAGGCTACCTCAAGGACACCTTAACAGCCCAGTAGTAGCCCCCAATTTCTTTTTTTTTTTAATGTTTTATTTATTTCTAGGAGAGAGAGAGACACAGCGTGAGCAGGGGAGGGTCAGAGAGAGAGGGAGTCACAGACTGAAACAGGCTCCAGGCTCTGAGCTGGCAGTCAGCACAGAGCCCGACGCGGGGCTCGAACCCACGAACCGCGAGATCATGACCTAAGCGAAAGTCGGACACTTAAGCGACTAAGCCACCCAGGCGCCCCAATAGACCCCAATTTCTAACACGAACCATCGACGGCTTTCCTAAAAAGGCACAGACAAACCAGCATTTTTTATGTGACGACATTCCTATTTATGGTGATAACTCGGAAGAACAGACGAGGGTCAAAACTGTTCGTTGAATTTCTTACAGTGGCACGATGGACAGTCAAGCCAGGTAGGTACAGGGACTCCACACTATAGTAAAATTTCTAGGTATGATTTAGTCCTCTGAAGGCAGAAAACTATCAGCCCAGTCATAAGGCACAAATGACAGAAACCTTCAATATTGGGAACAACACATACTACACATGAGGGTAACATTAAAACATATTTATGGAAAACTAGGAAAGGGAGGGCATTTAGGTGGATATTCAGGAGCCAGGCTTATGTGAAAGGTGCCACCAGACCTTTCGTACACCAGCCCCAGCTATTGAGTACTCTGAACCTACACTTAGGAGAGGGCCTGAACTCACAAGCATCTGCTACGTGGCGGCTATGGACTGAAATGGGCCAGAACTTCACATTTTACCAAATTGGGGCTGGGTTTAAGAAGTCTCAAATGGAGGGGCGCCTGGGTGGCTTAGTCGGTTAAGCGCCGACTTTCGCTTAGGTCATGATCTCGCGGTTCGTGGGTTCGAGCCCCGCGTCGGGCTCTGTGCTGACTGCCAGCTCAGAGCCTGGAGCCTGTTTCAGCCTGTGACTCCCTCTCTCTCTGACCCTCCCCTGCTCATGCTGTCTCTCTCTCTCTTGGAAATAAATAAAACATTAAAAAAAAAAAAAAGAAGTCTCAAATGGAGCC